AAGTCCTGTGTGTTAAAAACGTGGTCCCTAGAGAGGTGTTGGAGCCTTTGAGAGATGAGCAGAACCTTTGAGAAGTGAGGTCACTTGGTAGGAACCCCAGGTTTCTGGAGACAGCCCTTCAAGAGTTTGGTGGGCCCTCAGCCTCTCTTGCATTTGCATTTCTGCTGAGATGGGTTGCTATGGTCTATCCCATGATCCTACTGTGACAGTCTGTCCTGCCATAGGTCCAAAGCAAGGGGACCACTCAGTAATGAACTGCACAGGTCAAAACCATAAAGTATACCTCCTCTCCTCGTGTTAATTGTCTTTGGTGTGTTGTTACAGTCATGGACAGCTGACACAGACTGAGAGGGCTACTTCATAGGAACAGAAGAGCCAGTCTATGGGGAAGAGAAACAGTTATAAACACATATGTGTGCCTTACAACAGTTCCCAACCAGACAAAGCAAAAACTGCACACACACATACACACACACACACACACACACACACACACAGAGAGAGAGAGAGAGAGAGAGAGAGAGAGAGAGAGAGAGAGAGAGAGAGAGAATTCATGTTTTTCTCAATCATATATTTCCTGGGATAGACCATACCAGGTCATAGAGCAAGCCCCAGCTGATGCTAGAGGCCTCTCCTTTAGCCATTAGGCAGGCAGGCAGCAGTAAGTCTAGTCCAAGAGGTAGAAAGAACTCTCCCAGCCCCTCCCAAGGCAGGAAGACATAGCGGGTCCAGTAGGTATTTGGGTGATGGTACTCATAGGTGGGGCAGTTTAAGTCAAGTTTCAGGAGGGAATGAGTGTGACTCAGGATGACTTCAAGGAGGAGGTCCCCTGTGGCCACTACAGGCAAAGGATACAAAAAGTAAAGAACATTAAGCACCAAGCAAAGCAATTTGGCCTTAATCCCCATTTCTCCGGTATATGTTCTGGGAGAGGTTGCTAAGCCATTGGTGAGTTGGTTGATTGATCATGGTTGGTTGGTTGGTTGGTTTGTTTGTTTAGTTTTGTGTTGTTTTTCAGGCTGTCAATGTCTCACAAATCAAAATACCTTAACAAGTTCACTTAAAAGGAGGAAAAGTTTGTCTTGGCTCATGCCTTCATGGTCTCTTGGCTCCACTGCCTTTGGGTTTGTGACAAAGCAGAACATCCAGGCAGCAGAGCACACTGGGACAAAGCTGGTGATCTCAAGACCTTGGACAACAGAGTGGGGTATCTGGTCTCAATATGCACCTCAAGAGCATGACACTCCACCCATCTGCTAATGATCCCATCACATGCCCATGGCTCCATCAGCTGGAAAACAAGTCTTTAGCCACGGCCCTGTGGGCCTCTTTGGCTCCAGCCATTAGGGCCTCATAGTTAAACTGATGCTAGGCTGGTTAAGGCAGACCATAGAGTGAAGGCTTCCACCCGTGTCCAGGGAAGGGGGGGGGGCTTAAACAGATGTCCCACAAGCAAAACTGTAGTGTTAAGCTCTCTGAACGCCAAATGTATGATCCTCCAAAATACCCCCAAGGTCTGAGAGGGAATGCTGAAGATGCTGAAACTAACTCAAGGCAAATGAGGCTTCAGTGGACTGGGTTTGGTTGTTTTGTTTAAAAGTAACCTGACTAGGTACCCAAAAGTGGACAGCACATCTACAGAGGACTTCAGCACCAATCATCAAACCGACCGACTACCCCACGCCAGCCAGATGTGGTGCAAGCCTGGAGCCCTCGAATCTGAGAGGTGGAAGCAAGAGCTCCAGGAGTTCAAGGTGAGCTTGGGCTACATGGGACCATCTTCTAACAAATAATGTCCCTGAACTCTGCCTTGTTAATCGCACCCTCTAGCAGGTTCCGGAGGAAGGCCCAGTTCCCCAGCTTTCCCAGCACCTCACAGCCCTAGGTCTCCCCCTGCGCTGTGAAGCAAAGGAGTTGGATGCAGCTGGGTGTCTCAAGTTCAGTAATGGGAGTTCTAAAGAAACCACTACGGTGGTTCCAGATGCAGATGCAGTGAGAACATGTGTATTTAGCTACCGATGTTTCACATAGCTTATGCAAGTGGCTCTGTGGAACGAGGAAACCCTCCCTAGCCTGGTGCATGTACCTGCCCGCAGTGCAATGTTCACAACTCCTGGAGAGGTCAAAGGAGGCTCCAAGTTGCAGGACTGAGAGTCCTGCCCCGACAACTCGAGCCCCTCTGCTCCTGCACTAGAAATGCCCACCCTATCTTGCCGAGGTTTCCTGGGCTCTTGTGTTTTCACACCGGGGTAGAATCAACAGCTGCCAGGCTCTTGGAAACTTTGAGTCCTCGGGGTGGATACCCAAGTGCACCCCAGGAGGAAGGATTTAGAGCCCAAATACACTTTTTAGATGGTAAACTTCGAGGGGTGTATTTGCCCCAATAATCCACAGAAGCAACAGTAATCTAAAAATAGTCTTGTTTTCTGTCCTAAGCTCCTTTTAACTTTGTTAGTCATCGCCAACCCTTAAAATAAAACCCGTGTAACGTCTCTCCTGGTAGCAGCTATAAACAAATCTCCCCTAGAGGAGGCCGAAGGAAGAGGAAAAGAGGCGGTAGGGACGCGCAGGGAGAGCGGCCACAGGATGAGGCTTGAGCCCGAGGTGGCTGCAGGGCCTGGCGGACAACATAGAGCTGGCCGCGCTCCTGCGCCGCTGCCTCCGGAACTCCCTGCGCCTGGCGTTCTGCCACCGTGGTCCCGGCAACGGCATTAAACAGAGGGAAACAGGCCCGGGATTCCGTCACCCGCGGGGGATAAGGAGGGCATTGAGACAGACAGGAAAGGGCTTTTCTGGATGGGGTGAAAAGTTATTTATTGGAGAGGGAGGGGGAGGAGCAGACAGAAGGAAGAGGAGGAGCAGGAGGAAGAAGAGGGGGAGAGGAAATGAAGGAGAGAAGATGAAGGGTGAGGGCAGAAAAGAGAGGAGATGAAGAGAAGAGGGGAAGGAGGAAGAGGAAGAAGCGAAGCGGAGATGAAAGACGATCCTGGAAGAGTACTGGCCCCTTCCTCCAAGCGTTGCACAGCCAGTCACGTCCGGAAAGTCTTAGAAGTGCAGACAGGCTAGCGTTTCTGACGCGACAGTGGAACTCCTCTGGTCTCTGGAGTCCCCAGATTCTAAGGTGGGCCTTTAGTCTTCCCGCCACGCCCCGCGGATGATGCCTCCGCCCTGCCCCGCCTGGAGGGTGGTGGGGAGGGACGCGGGCACGGAAACTCTCAAGGCAAAATCTTGGCACCTTGGTCTGGCAACATCAGGACTCACAGAAGAATGGATTTTGGGGGGTTGGGGTGGAGAAAAGGGTATTGGGCAGTGGGGTCTTGGCACCCCCTAGCGGCGGCCTCTTCTGAGTAGCACGGAGAAGCTTCTGTGCATCCCTACTGGATTTGGGGGGTTCCTCTTTGCATCCTTGCCCTACATCCCAGCATCCTCACTGAGCCCTCAGCTCCTTCATAGGTCACTCTCCATGTCGTCGCGAGACACCCTCAACCTTTCGCTCACTATCCTCTTGACCACCTATGCTAGTGCCCACTCCTCTCAACGCCAGAGGCAAGAGGTGCGCGCCATGCCCAGCTCTCCACGGGAGCAGCAGGCCAGCAGGTAGTGTACCTGAGACGTGCTGGGCGTGGCTGTGGCAATGCGGGCCCCACCACTGCGCATCTCTGTGGTAGTAGGGGGGAAAAGGTCGTGCTGAAGCCTCTGGAAGGATAGGGTAGAGGCTTCTGGTGGAGTGGATGAGTTTCAGACAAGCACTTTCATATTGTTTAACTTCGGGCCCAGTTGGCCAGCTCCACTTGCTGGCTAGAGCAAATTTCCCTAGGTTTTGGGGGTGTCAAGTCCTTTGGAGGATCCATTGGCTCGGTACACGCCCCTCCCGTCCCACAGCAGACAGGCATTTTTGCTTTGTGGGTTTATTTTAATGCAATGAGGTGTAGGCCGATAGACTTATGATCTCTATACACCAGACGTTCTAACTGCCCAACCATCCAATGTTTTCCATCCAGAGCCAACAAGAAAATACGGTCGGGTTTTGGCAGCAGAGCTGCACCCTAGGAGATGCGAGGAGATTTGAAAGAGAAAAAGTGTGAAGCGAGGCGGGACAGAATCCGCAGAAGTTCCCAAGCACCAGCCCCATCCAAAGCCAGAAACCTCACAGTCACGTCTACAAAAGTCACCCCGTGGTCCCCTTTCAGTCGGAAGGCGCTGGGGTAAAGACACAAAAGGATCTGCGCAGGTGGGCTCTCGCTCCTGGACAAGCTGCCCCCCCCTTCTCGTATAGCAAGAAATCTAGTTCTTCTGATATTTACAGAGTAAAAATGACAATATCTGGCTGTCCCGGGACGCCCATGCAATCTGTTAGTAATTTAGCGGGATGGGAATTTCCTTACTCCCTCCTGCCAGTGGAAGCGCTTTTCCAAATTTCCACAGCGGGGGAAGCCTGCGATTTTACATAATGACTTCAGCATGCAAGGCGTCTCGGCACCCCTCCCCCCGCCGCTCGTACCCCAGTCCCTCATTAAAGGGGAGAGTAGCTGTCTCAGGACACCGGCGTGAAACTGCTGCCGTCCCGGCTTGGCGCGTTCGCCCATCGCCCCCTGGCAAGCCCTTTCCTTTCCATTTTGTCCCCACCAGTCCCTAAGTCCCCACTGTCCCCATGAGCCCTTTCCCTCTAGTCTTCCCTCACCTCCCTTCGCGCTTCTTTCTTCCCTCTTATACACCTTTGCCCACCTCCGGGTGCCCCTGAGCACCTCTGGGAGCCCCATCCAGTCCCTTCAGTCCTCATTACCCCCTGCTGAGTCCCTTCCCTCCCTGTGCGCCCGGGTTGGCCCACCCCAGGGTACCCCTGTCCAAACCAGGGCGCCCCGTTTGCCCAGTGAACTGTAGTCACTGAGCGCGGAGGGAGGGCGGCGCTCGGCGACTTGTCCCCCGGGCCCCGCGCCGACTCGGGAGGGCAGGGGCGTGATGTCACTGCAGGGAGGGGGCGCGGGAGCGGCCTGGCGGGCGGGAGCCGGGGGAGGTGTTTTCCAGCTTTAAAAAGGCTGAAGGCAGAGCCCGGCCCTGCGTCAGAGTGAGACCGAGAGGCTCCTAACTGGGCGACAGAGTCGCCTCGCGGATCCCAGCGGCCGGGCACGGGTTCCCGGGCGCGGCACACACCTCCGACCCCGCGGCGAGTCCCCGGCCGCAGGCAGGCCTGTCCCGCGCGCACACCCCCCGCATGCCACCTCCCCACGGCGCGCGGCGCTGAGCCCTGCCCCGCGCGTGTCGGCGAGGAAGAGGTCCCACTAGGGAGCCGGCCCGGGGTTGCTCGCCGCGCCTGCTCCCGCTCCTCCTCCTGCTGCTCGCCGCTGTCGCCACCGCCGCGTGGATGCCAAGTACCAGCTTTCCAGTCCCTTCCAAGTTTCCACTCGGCCCTCCGGCCGCAGTCTGCGGGAGCGGAGAAACTTTGCGGCCCGCGCCGCCCGCCGGCGGCACCATGAAGGCGGCCGAGGAAGGTAAGCCCTGTGCCCCGTCCTTCGCCCCCGCGTGTCCTGGCCCTCCGTGTTCGCTCGCCGCGCCCGGCGCCCATCTCTAGCCTCCTCCGGGGTCAGGCTGCCCGGGACTGGTGTGCGCGTCCAGGGAGGGGCGCGGGCGTCCGGTCGGACAGCGTGGCACACACTGTGAAGGGTGTCCCCCTGGTGTTTCCCCGGCGCAGCCCAGATTTCTAGCGCGCTTTCTTGCCAATAGGTGTCTCCTCTTCTCTAGCGCAAAGTACTCAAACTTGGCTTTGGCTAGGGTCGCGGAGATCCCAGTTGGGGAAACTTACAGAGGTGAGATTTAAGGATGGGGCGGGAGAGGACCGTCAGAACCGGGAAAAAAGAAAGAAAAGAAAAGAGGGGGGAAAAAACCTAGGATGATGTGAGGCTTTTTTTGAATAGCAGCCATAGCCCTGCTTCTACCTCGGGAAGGCTAGAGGTGAAGAGCATGAAGTTTGAGGGTCCTGTGCCCTCCCAGGTGGATCGGGACATAGGTTCGTCTTGCTAAGTAAGGGCTTGGCCGACTGGCCCCAAGTGGTCCAGGCTTCTAGATGCTTCTCAAGCTTGTGGCCAAATGTTGCATTCCGGCAAGAGTTCTGCCTTAGAAAATGCCTTGGGAAAGATAGGACTGCCAGGTTCCACGCTGCTTCTTCCAGGTAAAGAATAGACGCTGGAATCTGCCCTGACTTGGCAGGGCCAGAAGGACGATATGCCCCAGATCCTCTGTCAGGACCCTTTGGATCCCTTCAAAGGAACCAGTAAAATAACTTTTAAAACATGTAGGCTCCTGCAGGTGTCTTTGGAGCACCCTTTAAAGGGTGGCTGGCTTTTCAGCAGGGGATTAAGATAACCTGACCTGTGTGCAATGGAACCTGGGAGGCTCGTCTCCTAATTCCTTTCTGGCTCCAGACTTAAAATGACTGAATGCGGGCAGGCAAGCTGGACCCCTGCTAGGGCTGGATCACTCCTATCTGCAAGGCTCTGTGTAACATCCTTTACACAAGCACTTGGAAGGAGACATTAGTTTCCTGTGAGACTCTGATGAGTTTATCAGGCAGGAACAGCAATTCCCAGAGTCTGCCCTGGACACCTTGCTTATCTTCAAACTCAAAACCCATAAACTCAGATTTTCAGAGTCCGTTTATGTGGAGTATTATGTGGACTTGAATCAAAGGGGGCAGGTATTGCGTGAGTCACACTGTCACCCTCAGTTTTAAAGAGGCCTAAATGTTGCCAAGGATGTCTCAGTGTTTGCAGGAGGAACTCTTGCTACAAGAGTGGTTTTGTTGTGGTTTGTACTCTGAATTTTTTGACACTTATTTCCACACACATTCGTCACTTGTGTGTGTGTGGGGGGGATAAGGCACTTGAAGCCTACATTTCTTTCATTGTAGAGTTACTGCTCCATTACTCAATAAGAAATCTTTTCTTCTAAGCTGACCTGGATGGTTCACTCTTGTAACCCTAGGTGTAATCTCGGCACTTGAAAAACTAAAACTGGACAATTGCCATGAGTTTGAAGCTAGCCTGGGCTACAAAGCAAGTCCCAGGCCAGCCTTGGGCTACAGTATAAGACCCTGTATCAACAAAACAAAACACAAAAAAAATGTTTAATTTTTTTCTTTTTGTAACTAAAGGAAAAGCCAGTGTGATGTGTGTATGTGTGTGTGGAGGGGGTAACCAGACACGGCCATCCAGTCCTGAAACAGGCAAACCCATACAGGGGAAGAGACTGTCCGCAGCAGGTCAGTGTGGGCTTGAGCAGGCCTTGACTGGGCACCGGCTGCTCTCTGAGGCCTTCCCTCATGATGGGCATCTGGAGGGAAGCTCACCAGGCCCAGCCATCTCGGAAGACCTTGTTGCTCTGTTCTGAAGAGCTCCAAGAAACACAAGCCTGTAGGTAGCCACAGCATCAGAGTTGCCTCACACAACGCCCACCCCAGGGACTCTCTCTCTCTGGAGCTGAACAAAGCTTGCCCTGTTCTCCAGCCATTTAGCTTCACGCCATTGTTTCCTAATCCAGATTAGAAAATGCTGTGGCCCTGTACCCTGCTTCATCACACCCAGCACTGGAGCTGGCCCATTAACATCTTGCAGACTTGGAAGGAAGTGGTCCAAGCTAAACACTTCTATCAAAACTGGAGTGTCTGCGGAACTGGCAAACCAAGCTTCATGTTCTATAGAGGGTGGGGGGGAGCACTGGCGGAGGCACATTGGGGCGGTTCACAAATAGTTGTGTTGACTGACTCCTATGTTAGCCGGCAGATGAGGATGGAGCCCCAGCCCACGAGAGAAAGGCCCTGTAGCTTCCTTCCTTCCTATGGTCCCAGCATCTGAGGGCGCATGTGCAGCCGGAGCCAGGTGCTTTGCAACTTTAGCAAAAAGCTTTCTTGGGACAAGAAGGGCAGTTACGTGTGTATAGCTGGGGGAAGGTGGCTGAAGAGAGATAGGGTTCTTTACAGAAAACAGAACTTCCATTTCCCCGAAGGTCAGCAGAAAAGCAAACTAAAACAAAACAACACTCCGACATGCATCTCAAAGTGAAAACTATTATTAGAAACTAAATCAGGCCAGACTGAACTACAGTTTATCACGGGAGAAAACCAGCTATTGGAACAGGGTCCTGGGAGAAGTGGCAGCCCACGTGAGGCCCAAGTTAGTCTCCGGAAAAAGCCATCATCCCCCGGGCCCAGGGCTGCAGAGCAGGAGGAGGACACAGGGGACACTTGCATCTGGTGGCAGATTCTGACATCGACCCCCCTCCTCCTTTCCTTCCTGCCTCCTCCCGGTTCTGATACTGGCCTAGCCACCATTTTCCTGCTATTCCAGATGTTGGTTTACGTGATGCCAAGACACCAGGAAAGTTAGAACAAAAAGCTGGGGAAACAGGAAGAGATGGATGGGACTCCATAGGCCCAGCCTTTTCCTTCTGGTTGCTGATTGCATGGCAGTGTGTGCGTGGGTAACACCCACTCAGCCTTCAGGAGTTTTGAAGTCCCCCCCCCCACTAAAACGGGAGTGTGTAGTGTTTTAGGAGCTGAGAGATTGAGGTCGTTAGTGCAGGAAAACAGGACTTGTTCTGAGTGAGGTGCCCTGGAGTCAGGTGGCCACCATGAGTAAAACTTGAATGGTTTGTAAGCAACTGTGTTCTGGGACTTGACCTGAATAGAGTAGAGCCACAACCCTAAGGAACCCACCGCCCTCATTTTCCAGTCACTTTCAGATAATTCCTTAGTAAAAGCAGGGCTAGAAAATGTTACCCCCAGCGTTTACTGCTAGAAGTTGCGAAGCTCTAAGGTGGGCTCTGGGGTGCCTCCCTGAAGGTGGGTCTCCTCCAGTCAGCCATTCTGCTCAGAAAGCAACCTAGAGAAAGCCCTAGATAGATCAGGAGAAGCCATGTTTTGAAATTATATATATTTCTTTTCGAACTTTTGAACTAATCCAGAAGCCTTGGTCTTTTTCCTGGTGCAGGGAAACAGCAAGACTCAGGGCACCTCCTTCGGCTGTGGACTGCGCACCACGCTGAACTGGAACCAGGGGACCAGCTGCAAGGCCGGGCTGCGAGTCCAGGACGCAGCTCCAGCCCCGCCAGCCCCGCGCTGGTCCGGAACGACCGCGCAGCCTGGCCTAGGCTTTGCGTTCGCCTTGCTGCGGCGGCTGGCTGTGCCCAGGTTGGGGCACAGACGCCGGGGCTGCTTGGGGGACACTGGGTTTCTGCGGGGAGGTAGTGTCCAACGGGAGACCGAGTTCCCACGGGGAGGCTGGGACGCGGAGGAGCTGCGCGGGACCCTGCGGGGGACCAGGCACCCTGCTGAGAGGCGGGGATGTTCCCCGGCCCGCGCGGTCCTGAGGGCGCGAGTGGAGCTCAGGCTGCGCTCAGGCTCGCGCGCGGAGTTTATTTAAAACTCGGAAGCCGGCGGCCGCGAGCGGCTTGTTTATGTAAACCCGGAAACACCCGGGGGGGACAGGGGCGGGACCGGGGCGGGAGGCCGGGGAGGGGACAAGGGAGGGGACAGGAGGCGGGGGCCGCGTCACGCCGGGGACGCGCGCGAGCGCCGGGCGCACCAGTGCCGTGCGACCCCGACATGACGGGGCTGGAGCAGGACCCGGAGTTCGACTTCGATTTCCTCTTCGAGTTCGATCAGAGCGGCGGGGGCGCCGCGGCCGCAGGTGGGTCCGGCGGGGGACGGCGGGCGCCTGCACCCCGCCGTGGGCCTGAGTTTGCTGAGGTCGCCGGTGCCCGCCCCAACCTGGCACCAGCCGGGACCCCGGGCCGCCGCCCAGTGCGGCTAGAAGCGACGCGGACCAAGTTGCTGCCGGCCGCGAGGAGGCGGGAGGCCACCTGTGGGGCGAGCCTGCCACGCTCACCCGCCGGCCACTTCCTGGCATCTGAGCGCCCGCCCGGCTGCGGGAGAGGGCTCGCCCCTCCTTCCAGGAGGCCCTTACCCGAGGGGAGGCTGTGTCCGGCGCAGGACTTGGACCTCGTAGTCCGGGGACAGATGGTCAGCGGTGCTGCCAGAGGGCGGTCGGAAACCGCCCTTTCTGAGAGCCCGGCTGCTACTGCCGGGGCCCTGGGGACCCGGAGCCAGGAGGCCCGGCCCTGTGCTGACCGCCACCGCGACTCCCTCAACAGGAAGGCTCCACCAGTTGGGTTTTCAGTCCACACCTCAGCAACCAGAACCTGTCTTTCATTTTCTCTTCTCCCTGTCAAAAGTAAAGCTTCCAGCTAGGCCAACAATCGAAGTGCTGGTTACCAAAACTTGATTTTCCTGAACAATAATGACAGTCCATTTCTTGTTCCAGCCCCCCCCCCCCAGCACTTTGGTTGTTTTCTCCACCTGACTTTCTGTTCCAAGTTGCACACAGTCCCGGAATGTTTTCCTTGGGGTCTGCATCCCAGGCATGTGGGGATGACCAGACAGGACACTTGTAGCACACCTCTGAAATGTATTTTCCATAATATCCCCCTTTTAAAGTTC